AAAAAAAAAAACCCAAAAAACCAGAAACCAGGTTCTGTTAGGCTATGCGTGCCATCTCACCATGGAGGATGATTAGATAACAATGTGTAAATGTCTGGTTGCTTGATCACTCCTCATCTTTCTCCATTTTCTTCCTCATTCCTTCAGAGAAGAGGCAGCAAGAAAGGTTCAATAGATGTTGAGAAGATCACCTGCGTTGAAACAGTAGTTCCTGAAAAAAATCCTCCACCAGAAAGACAGATTCCGGTAAGAAGCTGCCAGAGTCAAGGAGAGGGGAGCTACGGATTGTAGGGCACTTGGAACTTCCAAATACTCCATATAGAATGGTGGTGGTGTCGTGTGTTGTAGAACAGTTTTGTTTCTTTAGAAAACTCTTCATTGGGAGCCAGGGCGATCACCAAGAGGGTAAGGGAAATTGCTGCCATGCCTAATGACTTGAGTTCTGTCCCTGAACACATCACATAGTAGAAGGAGAGAGCCAACTCCTGAAAATTGTCCTCTCACCTCCACTGAAAACTGTGACACGTATGGACACACACACACACACACACACACACACACACACACACACGGAAACACATAGAAAACAAGAATGTAAGAAAGAAAGAAAAAACAGCTAGGCAGCGGTGGAGCACAATTTTAATCCCAGCACTCGGGAGGCAAAGCCAGGCAGATCTCTGTGGGTTCAAGGCCAGCCTGGTCTACAGAGAAAGATCGAGGACAAGCACCAAAACTACACGGAGAAACCCTGTCTCGGAAAAAAAAAGAAAGAAAGAAAAATAATTTTTTCCTTCAGGCTAGGAGATGGGTCAGTGGTAAAGGGGTTGCCAGACAAGCCTGGGGATTCGAGAATCTCCAATCTCCAGAACTCACCTAAAGTCAGACCCTTTAGTCCATCTGTAATCTCACACTCCTATGGCAAGGTGGGAGGTGGAGGCCGGAGAATTCCTGGAAGCTCAAGGCTCAACTAGTCTGGCATATGCAACAGCTGAAAAAGTGACCATGTCTCAAAGAAGGTGGAGGATGAGCCTCACACCTGAGGCTGTCTGTCCTCTGACCTCCACAAGCATGCTCCTGAAAATATGTACAAACACACACACACACACACACACACACACACACACACACACACACACACACAGAGAGAGAGAGAGAGAGAGAGAGAGAGAGAGAGAGAGAGAGAGAGAGAGAGAGAGAATACAAAAGAATTTACCAAAAGAGAATTTGCTAGCTTTTTTTGAAAATGTCTTTTCTTTTTAATGATGTGTTTGTGTATATGCCCACAGAGGCCAGTGTCAGATCCCCGAGTTAGAATTTCAGGCTGTTGTGAGTGGATGCGGCTTCTCGGGACCAAGCTTGGATCCTCTGGGAGAGCCGTTATGTGCTCTTATCCACTGAGCCATCCTTCCAGCCTGAAAAGGCTTCAGTCTTTCACGAGTTGATAATCCCAAGTCAGCATCATTCCTTCTTAGCAGATAGAGACACACTGAGCCTGGAAAACTTTATAACACCCAACTTAGAGTACTGCTGTACTGGCCTCTCACAATGAGCAAAGAGAACCAGTTTTCCTCCTTCAGGTACCAGTGCCACAGGCATGACTTGAGTAAGTCTCCATGCCCAGGGCTGACACTTTTTTCTTATTAACTTTTTTTTTCCCCCAGAGCTGAGGATCGAACCCAGGGCCTTGCACTTGCTAGGCAAGCACTCTACCACTGAGCTAAATCCCCAACCCTTCTTATTAACTTTTAAAAATTTATTTTATGCCGGGCGGTGGTGGCGCACGCCTTTAATCCCAGCACTCGGGAGGCAGAGGCAGGCAGATCTCTGTGAGTTCAAGGCCAGCCTGGACTACAAAGTGAGTCCCAGAAAAGGCGCAAAGCTACGCAGAGAAACCCTGTCTCGAAAAAAAAAATTATTTTACATACCAACCACAGTTCCCCCTCCCTCCTCTCCTCCCGTTCCCTCCCCCTTTCTACCTCCCTCCCTCCCTCTTTTCTAACCCCCACCCCATCCACTCCTCAGAAAGGGGAAAGCCTCCCATGGAAGTAAGCAAAGCATGTCCTATCAAGATGAGGCAGGACAAGATCCTCCCCGCTGCATCAAGGCTGAGCAAGGCATCCCACCATAGGGAATGGACTCCAAAAAGCCAAATCATGCTCCAGGGACAGATCCTGTTCCCACTGTGAGGAGTTCCACCAACAGATCAAGTTACACAACTGTCACCCACATGCAGGGGACCTAGGTCGGTCCCATGCAGGCTCCACAGCCATCAGTTTAGAGTCTGTGAGCTCCCTCTGGGTCACCTATCTCTCTGGGTTTCCCCATGATCTTGACCCCCCTGGCTCGTACAATCCCTCCACCCTCTCTTCATGGACTCCCGGAGCATGGCCCAATGCTTGGCTGTGGATCTCTGCATCTGCTTCCATCAGTCACTGGTTGAAGGTTCTATGATGACAGTTAGGGTAGTCACCAATCTGATTACTGGAGTAAGCTAGTTCAGGCACCCTCTCCACTACTGCTGGTAGTCTAATCTGGGGTCGTTCTTGTGGATTTCTGGGAGTTTCCCTGGCACCAAGTTTCTCCCTAACCCCAAAATAGCCCCCTCTATTCAGATATCCACAGGAGATTTTTAAAAGAGCTTCCTTCCTTCCTTCCTTCCTTCCTTCCTTCCTTCCTTCCTTCCTTCCTTCCTTCCTTCCTTCCTTCCTTCCTTCCTTCATTCATAGTTTCACTCTGTACCCTAGGCTGGCCTGGAACTCACCATACAGTTCAGGCTTCAATTCTTTGTAATTCTACCTCAGCCTTCTAAGTGCTGATATTACAGGCATGAAATTAGAGTCTATTTTTTTAATGTCACAATAATTATTATTTTATTATTTGTATGTGTGGGGGTGTTTTGCCTGTATGTATGTCTGTGTGCTACCTTCTTGCCTTGTACCTGTGCTGGGATTAAAGGCGTGCGCCATCACCGCCCGGCCCACCCTTATTTTTTAAAGGTTTATTATTTTGTGAATGTTTGCCTGCATGTATGTGCACCACATACATGTATAGCACCTGGTGCCACTGGAGGCCAGAACACTGTATCAGATCTAGTGTAGGATCCCATGGAACTGAAGGTATAGGCAATTGTGAGCCTCCATGTAGGTACTGGGAACCAAATCCGGGTCCTTTGAAGATCAGGAAGTGCTTTTAACTGCTGAGCAATCTTCAGCCCCAAACATTTTTGAAAGTGCTTGAGCATTTTGCCTGCATATATATAACTGCAGTGTGTGCATGCCTGGTCCGAAAGGAGGCCCGAAAGGAGGTCACATTCACTGGACCTGAAGTTACAGGTGTTTGTGTGCCTCCTGAGAGTTAAATCCACTCCTGTGCAAGAGCAGCCAGTGCTCTTAGCCGCTGAGCCATCCCTCCAGCCCCAATGCGTTTATTAATTTTGTTTCTATTCCATTTCAGTTTCTAGAAGGGGAGTTATGGTATCTTATAGTCCGGTAAACTATGTAAGGTGGTATTTTCTTCATCTTTATAACATGAGATTTTCTTTTAACATGAGATATTTTAAATACTAGTCAATTTTTCAGGGAAGAAAAATAATATTTCATTGCTGACTTATCTTTACTTATAAGACTGTACAACGATGTGTCTACTGCTCATTTATATTTTTTCATTTGTGAATTGCATGTTCATCTTTTGGCCCACTTTTATTGAGATATTTACTATGTTTCTAATGCTTTTAAAGACATCTTGATATAAGAATATCAGTCCTTTGTTAATATTAGTGTGTTGAAAATATTCTTCCAGTTTTTTAATCTTCAAATTTGGTTTTGGTTTATTTTATTCTGCTCATACAGCAGTTTCTTTCCTTCCTTCATTTTCCCCTTCCATCTTCTCTCTCTCTCTTTCTCTCTCTCTCTCTCTCTCTCTCTCTCTCTCTCTCTCTCAGAAGTGGTCTCACTCTGTATTTCTGGCTGACTAGGCTGTCTTTGAACTTACAGAGAGCAGCCTCTGCCTCCCAGGTGGTAAAATGAAATGCATATGTCACCACACACAGCTCTTTCTTCTTTTTGTTTCTGTCTTTTTCTGTTCGTGTTTTTGACACTTTCACTCTGTAGCCCAGCAGCCCAGGTTGGCTTGATCTCCCTTTGTAGCCTCCAGCTTCCCAGCGCTGGGATCATAGGTGCAGAGCATCGATCCCAGATCATAAGTTCTTTATACGTTTTTTTGGCCATGCTGGTAATTGAACCCAGAACTTCATGCACACAAGGCAAGCACTCTAGCACTGAACTATAGCCCCACCCCATAACAGTTCTACTTTCATCTTATGCTCTTAAGTCTGCCTGAACTTTACACTGGGGGGTGATGTGAACTAGCTATCCAATTCCTAGCACCAATTATTGAGAAGCTACGGTTTTGCTACTGATTTGAAATGTCTATGGGTCTATGGGGAGTAATCATTGAGAAATTATTTTGGAAAAAAAGAAATCCTGTTGGGGCCTAGAGATTTGGCTCAGTAGTTAAGAGCAATTGCTGCTCTTGCAGAGGCCATGAGTACCGTTCCCAGCACCCAGAGTGGATGGCTCACAACCGCCATAACTCCAGCTCCTAGGCAGGCATACCATGCTTTTTTCTGGCATCTGTGGACGTTTCACGTATATATAAATAAATACAAAATCAATATTTTTTAAAAACTAAGAACTGACTTTTTGCAAATGTTTTCTAAATCCACGGTAGAAGATTCCCAAAACCTAGAGAAATTCAGAAAAGAGCAGCACTTCTGTCTTACTTATTTTTCGATTACTGTGATAGAACACTATGGCCAAAACAACTCATAGAAGAAAGTGTTGGATTTGGGGCTTATGGTTCCAGCGGGTCAGAGTCCATGATGATAGAGTAAAGGCATGTCCACAGGAACAGCTGAGAGCTTACATCTTGATTTACAACTTGGAAGCTGAGAGGCTGGGAATGAGTCTTTTGAAACCCCAAAGCCCCCAACAAGACCACACCCCCTAGTCCTTCCCCCCCAAAGTTCCACCACTTGGGGACCAAGTATTCAAATATATGTTAGCCAGTGGGGGCCACTCTCATTCACACCACCACAACATCCACAGGTAACCGTACTTCCTTCTTTCATTACAGAGGAGGGGTGAGGAGTCCGGTGAGATGGAACAGATTTCAATCATTGAAAGGTTCCCGTACCCGTTCCAGGTGAGTTCTTTTCTCTAACCCACTCTGGAAAGGCCTCTGTAATGAAGTCATTAGGTATCAGGTGAAGGACACTAGGTCCCCGGGAGCAGAAATTGAAGTAGTCAAGGAAGTCATGCTAGGAAACCAGGCCAGTTTGGCCCGCTGTATAGTATATGCCAGCCACTGAGATGAGTTTCCAAGAGAGAAAGAGTTCATTTACAAGGCAGACAGTTGTGGAAGTAGGAGATGCCAGTCTCAGATTGTCCTCCCTCAAAGGGTTGAAGGACATTTATCAGAAAAATAAGTGGGGCAATTTAAGGTATGGAGACAGGTAAAGATAAACAGTCGTCAGCAAATGTGAAGTCATTGTCATGGCTCTTTGTGGGACGTATGTTCAGAAAATGATGTGATATGGGGGTAGAGTTTTCAGTTCTAGACCATTCCTTGAGAATCTGCACAGGACCAAGTGAAGAGTCAATGGTTTCTCCTAATTCCCTCTCTTACCATACTACTAATGCGATTAAATCGATATCAATCCATGGAAATAGCTTAATGATGAAAGGAATTTATTGGGGGGTTAACTCACAATACAGGAAACTCACAATACAGGTAATAGGGATTGTAGCAGGATTCTGGAAAGGTGAGGCTCGTGCCAACGCTGTTCTCTGGAGAGCTCTGCCCTGGTCTGTCTCAGCATCCAACATTCACAAGGAAGAGAGAGCAACCCATAAGCGCATCTCTGGTCTTAAGGATTCCCGGAGGCTGTGCCCCAGGGGCAGGTACCTAATAGCTACCTGCTGCTTTCCTAGAGGCATGGCTTCAGGGCATGGCACAGACAGCCACCCACTACATCCTACCCCTACCCATCCTAACTCTCTCTCTCTCTCTCTCTCTCTCTCTCTCTCTCTCTCTCTCTCTCTCTGTCTCTCTCTGTCTCTCTCTCTCCCTCTCTCTCTCTCCCTCCTAACCCCCTCTCCCTATCTTCTCCCCCTTTGTCCTAACCCTCCTCTTCCTCTCTCTCCTAACCCTCATCTCCCTTTTAGCCTTTACCCTCTCTCTACTAAACTCTCCATCTTAACCTTTCTCCTCCTCTCTCCTCCAATTTTTAAAAAGATGAGGTCTCTCTATGAGGTGCAAGGCAGGTCTCAGACTTCCAATTCTCCTTCCATAGCCGCCCAGTTGCTGGGATAACAGGATTACTAACTAGCGCTACAACACCCAGTCAGAACTGGTGATATTGGTTGGTAAGAGACCTTGGAGGTCTCAGAAAGGTAACTAGGCAAACATTATTATTATAATTAACTCTGTGTCAGAGGTCTTATTGACAGCAAAACTAGGGCTGGCTACTACATACCCCAGCTGTGTTACTCGCAGGATTAATGATTTCTTTTGAAGTCAGATAAAAGCAAACAAAGCGTAGCTTGGTGTAAACATGATTCCGCCAGCTGTGTTTCTTGGCTAGTAACGACAGACGGATGCAGCACTACTCTTAAATGGCCTTATTAATAAAAACAAACCCAGAGCCAGGTATTGGGGTGAACGCTGAGTGATCAGAGAAACTGAGGACTCAGAGGCTTCCAGTCTGAGGAAACAAGATCAGCTGAGGAATTGGCAAGGCGAGGTTAGCTGTGGCTTGTTCTGTCTCTCTGACCTTTCAGCGATCACCTCAATACCTGGCTCCGGGTTTGTTTTTATTAATAAGACCCTTTAAGGTTCATGCTACAGACGGAAGTTAGGATTCTGACCTTCCGTGGAGTTTTAGAGACAGAGGTCTTAGTCTTTGAATGCTAATGTTCATGAGAATGACTCTCAGGTCCTTACAAGATGCTTCTGAGCTGCAAATGAGATATATTTACTATTGGAAGCCCTTCATTTAGTAAATATGCAGCAGAAGCCTCTTGGCCATCCAGCAAAGGCTTATTTATTTATTTATTTTTATTTACATTAAAAAAATTTAAATACAATATATGAGATTGACAAGCATATTTGCTTTTGTGTTTTTCTCATCTAACACAGTTTCTTTCCATATCTACACCTCAAAAAGATTATAAATGAACACCAGGCCTGTTATGATACGCCTTCTCTATGATGGCTGAATTGAGAAAGACACTCTGCTTGTTGACTGATCATCTCACTTCCTTCTGGCTCTGAAGGTCTATTTAATGGCGGTCATGTGGGCTGAAAAGACAGAAAAGGGGAGGGAAGGGGGAGTATTAGGAAGTTCAGTGTGGGGAAGGTTTATTGACATAAAACAGACAGTCCAGTCTAGACGGAAACAGGTGAAGAACATCTTTTTGATAGATGCAGCGTAAGCCATAGAAAAGAGTGCGATCTGGACTTCAAACTGGCTTGCTCGTATCCTGAGAAATGTGTAGGCCCCACGCAGTGAATATAGCAGCCTCAGCAGCAGTGAAAGCCAGAAAAGGAAGTGGAAAGTCTCAGGGGAGGGGCTTTCTGTCATGGCTGTATGAGCACAAGCAAGCCCAACAAGCACAAAGAAAACTGTAAAACGATTTCTTTCATGGCTAACTTGTGAAAGAAGGGTGTTTATGACGTAGTTTTTATTACCACTGTCTTTGAACATGATGATCTTGTTTGGATGCAGGAGCAGATGATGAAGAATGGCAGTGTATAAATAAAAATAATTCGTAATTCAAAAATAACTTGTATTTCACTTTAGAATTCATTGTATGATATCTGCTAACTCTATAAGGGTTAGATACAGATCTTTTTTTTTGAGACACTACTTCACTATGTACCTCAGGCTAGCCTAAAATTTACCATCCTCCTGCTTCAGCTTCCTGAGTGATGGGATTATAGATATAAGTTACCATGCTTGACATCAGAACCAAACCTTTTATATTTTATGCATAACGAACATGGTAAGTGTTTAAAAATACTGAGTTGATGATAGTCCCTGATATATACTTACCCAATTTGATATAAGTTTGTAGTTTCAAGTTTGTTTTGGCAAATATTAATGAGAGAAGGCCGCTGGAAAGGGTTGTAATAGTCATGAATTAAAATTTTACTCCCTCTTTTCCAAGCCAAAAAACACAGAAATAATAATCAAAGTTTAAGTCATATAGATTATCCTTTCAGTTTTCTTCCATATAAACCAAAATTTAATACTGAGATCACAAAATATCCCTTGTTAAAGAAAAAAAAACCCTCTACCAAATGCTAAGGGAGACATTGTGGACTAAATAGGCACATAAATTAAAAAATACACCAAGAGGACTTGAGTATTCAAAAGCTAAGAACTTTGAAGTCTTTTTTTTTAAGTTTTTAAAAAAGATTTACTTATTTTTTATGTATACACCAGATCTCATTATAGATGGTTGTGAGCCACCATACAGTTGCTAGGGATTGAACCCAGGTCCTCTGGAAGAGCAGCCAATGCTCTTAACCTCTGAGCCATCTCTCCAGCCTCAAGCTTTGAAGTCTGACATCCCTGGACATGAGTAGTTTAGGACTTCTTCAACTGGTTTACCTGACCCCTGAACCCCTGCTAACTGAATACTCCGGTTTTCTTTCTTTCTTTTATACAACAGATATACAGTGCTGTTCCTTAAGATTCCCTCACTGCGCTGAGATGTTTCTTCTAATCTCTGAATCCTAACCTTGAAATTTGCTGTGTTCATCACTCCAGGTTGTATATGATGAAGGACCGCTTTACGTTTTCTCCCCAACTGAAGAACTGAGAAAGCGTTGGATTCACCAGCTCAAAAATGGTGAGGATTCCTTTGAAAGCAAACTAGTTTTAGAAGGGAAAAGAACGAAATTGTAACAAAGAGAGGAGAGGTGGGAGAGAGGAAAAAAGAGAGATGGAGACATGAAGTAAAGAGGAAGGAAGAATGAATTAATGAAAGAGGAAGGGCTCATAGAGGAAGGAGAGAGGACGGTGAGAGTGTTTTGCCTCAACCGATCACTACTCCATCATAGGATTCAAGATAATATACTAGACTGAGTTGTGACCCAGTTCCGTCATCTCTCCAGCACAATTTTTGTGCGTTTAAAATGTTTTTATTAGTGTGTGTGTGTGTGTGTGTGTGTGTGTGTGTGTGTGTGTGTGTGCCTGCACGCCACAGCATGTTTGTGGAGATACTTTCAGTAATCGGTTTTCTCCTCCTGTTGTGGGTTCTAGGAATGAAGCTTGGGCTGTTAGGCTTGCGTGGAAAGCTCCATTGCCCAGAAAACCACCCCATCAGCCCTTTCTAATGCAGTTTTGAATCTCTTTTTTTTTTTTTTTTTTTTCGAGACAGGGTTTCTCTGTGTAGCCCTGACTGCCCTGGAACTCACTTTGTAGACCAGGCTGGCCTCAAACTCACAGAGATCTGCCTGCCTCTGCCTCCCGAGTGCTGGGATTAAAGGCGTGCGCCACCACCGCCCAGCATAATGCAGTTTTGTAATTATGGACACCTTTATTTTCTTATTTATATGAAGCTTTATATAACAATATCATATGAATGCTGCACCATTTACAAAGGTGGTGTGTTGCTCAGTGATCATAGAGTATTTAAAGTCCTGGATATGAAACACCTAGCTCTGAAGTCAGGGACAAAGAATTTGGTTTCAAGCCACTTTCCATTATTGACTTTTGGCAAGTAGGCCATGGGCTTCTTGGTGGTCCAGCTTTTTCTCCCAAATGGCAATGATGATAATGCCTGCCATACCCACCTCCAGAGTCGCCTACGAATCAAACAAATAATAACGTATGTGAAAGTGTGAGAAAAACCATAAGGCAGTAGATAAGACGGGGCAGCCATCTCCTCATTGTGGGTAACCATCTCCGAAGGAGCTACTTTGTAGCCATTGCTTTGTGAAGACCTAAACTTGAACATTTCCTCAGTGTTTCACCACCCGGTGATAAAGACAAGTTTCACTGTAAATGCGTGCAGCACAGGATGCATGCGCCTCTTCTCGTGTGTGTATATATAGCTACATGTCAAGTGACTGAGAGATTAACTGGTTGAGTTGACATCAGGAAAGGCTGCCTAGAGAAACAGGAAGGAGGGCAGCCCGATAACGGCACAGTTGGGTTATCGCACCACAGTCCTTTGTCTTCACAAACGTTTAGACGCCGGTGCTCAGTGGTTTGCCTTGTTCACGCCCTTGGAAGTAGCAGTACAAATTCCAATCACCAGTTCTTTCAAACTGAAGGAGAGAAGGGAGGAAAGGACCATTTAGTTATTGAGTAGCTTCTATATATTAGCGTGTTTCGTTCTCGCAATCATCTTGGACTAATAGCAACAATAACCAGCACCTTACAGGCAATTACTCTGCACCAGGGTCTGTGATAAGTGCTTCAAATGTATCAGCTCATTTAATCCTCACAACAGTTTGATAATGTACCATTCTCCTATTTCCAGGTGAAAGAATTGAGGCTCAAAGAAGTGGCATAACTGCTCATGAGCACATAGATAATCAGTGGCGACTACAGGCTTGAGACTCCATTCTCAAAACAAACACACGATTTCCAAGTCAGAGAGCTAGTCCCAGAGACTGACACAAGAGCCATGCAGGACATCTATATTTGTACTTCTTTGGTTCCCTTGACAGTGTTGCATTCAATGTCTTGCACATAGAAAGATGCACAAATGGATTTTTGTGTGGGAGTAGGTACCCACCATCAATGCAGGCTCTGCGATAATGGCTGGCAGCAAGTTAGGAAACAGGAAACCATGGGCAGACTATCTGAGGAGAAGCAAGGGAGAAATGTGTGAGTTAGCAGTTCTTTTACACTTCAAACACTAATTTCCAAACCAAGTTCATTAACCAAAATTACAATAGGCAACTCATAATGCTAAGACAACAAAAACACTGTCCCTTCAGCCGGATTGCTAATGGCCGGTAGGCAGTGTGGCTAGGTACAGGTTTGCATCTGGTATGACTTGTCAAACCTGTTTGGACATCCCACAGGAGACAAAGCAGGGGCTGCTTTTTTTCTCCTCCTCCTCCTCCTCCTTTTCTTCTTCAAAAGTTTACTGGGCTTTATTACTGGTCTCAATAATTTTTAGATATCCCCAGGACATATTTCACACACACACACACACACACACACACACACACACACACACACACACACACACACACAAATGTTACAGAGGAGTTGGATGAGAAACCATGTTTCATATCTTGCTGTTTTCGAATTGTGGTCTCTCTTTCTTCTTTCTTTCTCCCTCTCCACCCCCCCAAACCCTACAGGACTCAAGATGTATCTCAGTGGTAAAGGGCTTGCCTACTAAATGCAAGGCCCTGGGCCTTGATAGCCAGCATATTAAAATAAAGAGGCAGAACTTCAGTGTAGAAGTAGTTCCATGAGCTAAAGTTGGGCCAAGGGCCCCCAAAAGGACCAGGATGGTGTGTTGCTAGCCTGCATGGAAATGGCGCTCAGAGCTCACTTAACAGTGGCATCTTTTTAGAGTCAACTAGGCTTTCAGCTGCGTGAGTCACTCTGAGGAGACGAAGCAGGAGCATCTTCTAACAGTTAATATTGTTGCTGAGAGATTTAGATGAAAGTCCTAATAATCTCAGGACAGTCTTTGGTACTAATAATGAAAAACAGTGAGCTGTCCTGCTTGCTGTGGTGGCGCACAGCACTTGGCATGCAGAGGCAGGAGGATCTTTGTGAGTCCCAGGCTAGCCTGGTCTACACAGAGAGTTCTAGGCCAGCCAGGGCTACATATTTTGAGACCCTTTCTCAAAAAAAAAAAAAACCCTCAATGAAAAAACTTTATTAGGAACCTTCAAGTCTCATTATACTAATACTATCCTTGTCTTGGGTTAAAAAGCATCAAGTGGAAATCACCAACACACGAAGGAGAAGGTTTCATGAGTATTGATTACTGAGGGAGGGGGGTTAATCATAAAGAGGCATGGAGGAGCCTTCGGAAGTATTAGATCTAAGTGAGGTTAAGCAATGAGTTATGAAAGTGACTTGCTATACACCATAGGTCTGTGTAATTTATCGTAAGTTGACCTTAATTTTCAAAGCAGGACCTAATATCCAGCCGCTGTATTTTCTGTTTCCCGTTTCTTCTTCTTCTTCTTCTTCTTCTTCTTCTTCTTCTTCTTCTTCTTCTTCTTCTTCTTCTTCTTCTTCTTCTTCTTCTTCTTCTTTCTTCTTCTTCTTCTTCTTCTTCTTCTTCTTTTCATCCACTTCCCATTTGCCTTCCTCCTCGTCCTCCTCCTTCACCTCCTTTTCCTCCTCCTCTTCTCCCATCCCTCCCCCTTTTTATTAAGTTTGAATGTATGTGGGTGCAAGCCTGTGTACCATGCTACAAGTCTGGAGGTCAGAGGACAGCTTGCCTTGTGGGATTCAGCTCGTCTCCTCCTCCTGTGGATCCTGGGGACTGAAGTCAGGTGATCAGATTTGGTGGTAGGAGCCTTTACCTGCAGCCATCTCACTGGCCCCCTTTTCTACTTTTGTTTTATTTGGTTTGTGGCAATATCTCACACCGTAGCCCAGGCCCATATTGAACTTAGGGCCATCCTTCTGATTCAGTGCTAGGATTAGAGGTGTGAATCAGCACACCTGGTCTGTAGTAATTTTCTTAGTGAGACTTTCCATAAAATAGCCTTATTGCTAGGACTTAGCCATGGGCACTTTCATTTCATTTCCTCGAACACAACAGTGGATAAAAACAACAAGCATTTCTCTCCTATCCCTCCTCCTCCTCTTCAGTGCTAGTACATAAAACCAGAGCCTTGTTTGTGCTCAGCACTTATTCTGTTGCTCAACTCCATACTTGGGCCTCGCATTTCTCCTTGAGTATGTTTGGTCAAGCTCAACAAAGCCCATCCTAATTGGCCTTCAGATACAGCAAGCGTCCTGACCTCCCCAAAATTAACGGAACAAAGGCACAGGCAAAGCTTCAACCACGACCCTGGGCAGTGAATTATGCATGTTTGAAACAGAATTGTAGACAGTCTCCTGGTAGCATGGGGGCCGTGGACCAGTCTTTCAAGTACTCAGAGGATAAGCACCAACCATTGTGCATTCCTGACAGGCCACCTAGCTACCTTCTCCCGATGGAACACCCTGCCTTTCTGATTCTCTTCCGAGTCGCTGGAAACACACAGCTCTAGATAGCCAACATAAGTAGGGATGCCGTCTTCAGTTTTGTTCTGGCGCTGTTTTTGCTTTGTCTCGTTTGTTTTGAGACAGGGTCTCACTATGTAGACCAAGCTAGCTTAAAATTCCTTGTGCATCCAAGGCTGGCCCGGTACTCATGGTACCTCCTGCTTTAGACTTCCCAGGCATAATGCCGAGGCAATTATTCCACCATTGAGCTAGCAACCCCAAGCGACTTCCTTTTATTATTTCATTTTATGTATGTTACTGATTTACCTGCATGTATGTATGTGCACCTCATGCATGCTTGGTGACAGCAGAGGTCGGACGACAACATCGGAGCTCCTGGGACTGGGGTTACACATGGTTGTGACCTACTATGTGGGGCCTGGGAACCAAACCCGGGTCCTCTGCAAGAGCGACAAGTGCTCTTAACAGCTGAGTCCACTCTCCAGCACTCCCTCCCAGAGAGACTTCTTAAGAAACAGACACTATTTCGGAATGTAAACAGTTCCTTTTTGTCGTTATTTTGGGGCTAGGGTCTCATCACCACATAGCCCAGCCTGGCTTGTAACTTATTTTGTAACTCGGCTTGGCCTTGAACTACTAATCCTCCTGCCTGAGACTCCCAAGTGCTGGGATTACAGACGTGGACCTATAATTACTTTTTTTGTTGTTTTTGTTTTAAGACAGGGTCTCTCTGTGTAGCCTTGGCTGTCCTGGTAATTCTTTTTTGACTTTTCTTTTTTTGTTTTTCAAAACAGGTTTCTTTGGCAGCTTTGGCTGTCCTGGATCTCACTCTGTAGAGCAGGCTGGCCTGGAACTCACAGAGATCCGCCTGCCTGTGCCCCCCAAGTGCTGAGATTAAAGGCATGCGCCACCACCACCAAGCTTCTTTTCTTTTTTTAGACAAGGTCTCACTATGTAGCTTTGGAAGACCTGGAACTCGCTCTGTAGACAGTGCTAGCCTGGAACTTAGAGATCTGTGTGGCCCACTACACCCAGTGGCGAGGAGGATTCTTTAAGGAGTACACTGAAATTGGAGAAAGCAGGACGCTTCCACCCAGTAGCGTATAAGCGTAGACTAGTTTGTCAGGGTGGCTAGATGTTAAGTATTCTAGCAGTGTGTATTGGTGCCCTGTCCTCAAGAAGGCACAGAAGAACTGGAGGTCTTTTTTTAAAGATTTATTTATTTATTGTGTATACAGTGTTCTGCCTGCCAGAGGAGGGCACCAGATCTCACTACAAATGGTTGTGAGCCACCATGTGGGTGCTGGGAATTGAACTTAGGACCTCTGGAAGAACAGCCAATGTTCTCAACCGCTGAGCCATCTCTCCAGCCTGAACTGGGGGTCTTGAAACCCCCGGGGGAAGGGAATAGCACAGTGGGAGAAGCAGAGAGCGCTTGTGGTCAGAGCAATTAGCTCAGACAGGGTGGGGTTTCAGTGGCATTATTTAGAAATACCAGTGCCTGCTACTAATTAAAGGCAGATAAACATTTGGTCACTTGTATTACATTTTTTTTTTTGGTTTTTTCGAGACAGAGTTTCTCTGTGTAGTTTTGGTGCCTGTTCGGGATCTTGCTCTGTAAAGCATGCTGGCCTCGAACTCACAGAGATCTGCCTCACTTGGTAGCCCAGGCTGGCCTCTAATGCACAGAGATCCGCCTGGCTCTGCCTCCCCACTGCTGGGATTAAAGGCGTGCGCCACCACCGCCCGGCTTACATTACTGTTTTTAAAGTTTCTATAGGTGATGCAACTACCACCACCCTGTGCTTGGTAATGATGAAGAGGAACACAGAAAAGTTGGCAGGGGAAAGTGGGTAAAAGTCTCAAAGGTCAGGCCTGGAGAGATGGAAAATGGGGCTGGAGAGGTGGCTCAGAGGTTAAAAGCAGTGATTGTTCTTCCAGAGGTCCTGAGTTCCCAGCTACCACATGGTGGCCTCACAACCATCTGTAGTGAGATCTGGTGCCCTCTTCTGGCCTGCAGGCATATATGCAGGCAGAACTCTGTATACATAATAAATAAATTTTAAAAAAAGTCTCAAAGGTCATGATGAGGCATTGAGAATGTTGCTCAGTGGACAGCACTTGCCTAGCATGCTCAATCCCTAGCACCCCTCCCCCATGCATGTTGTGAAAAGCACCCTTCTGTTGTTCTTTTACTTGTTTGTTTTTTGAGAAAGGGTTTCATGTAGCCCAGACTGGCCTCAAACTTGATGTGTAGTTAAGGATAGATGGCCTTTAACTTCTGCCTCTACTTTCTGAGTCCTGGGATTACCAGTGTATGCCACTACACCTGTGTCACCACCACCACCACCCCACCCCCGTGAGACAGGGTTTCTCTGTGGGGCCCTGGCTGTCCTAGAACTCGCTTTGTAGACCAAGCTGGCCTCCAACTCAGAGATCGCTCTGCTGAGATTAAAGGCGCATGCCGGCACACCGGCTCATTACACCTGTTTTATGAAGTGCCAGGGATTGAACCCAGGGTCTTGTGCATGCTAAGCTAGTGCTCTGTCAAGTGAGCTACATCTTCAGTGTTGTATTTTGTATGTGTCCCAGCCAATCCTTGAACTTTTGATCCTCTGGTCTCATCCTTCCAAGTGCTGGGATTACAGTCATACATTTTTTTAAAAAGATTTATTTATTTATATAAAAAGAAAGATTTATTTATGATGTATACAGCATGTATGCCTGCAGGCCAGAAGAGGGCGCCCGATCTCATTACAGATGGTTGTGAGCCACCATGTGGTTGCTGGGAATTGAACTCAGGACCTCTGGAAGAGTGGTTGCTGGGAATTGAACTCAGGACCTCTGGAAGAGCAGTCAGTGCTCTTAACCTCTGAGCTATTTCTCCAGCCCCAGTCATACACTTTTAAAAAACTGTTTCTTTTAGCTTGTTTGCCTTCCAGACTTCTAGGCCTCTTCCCACCGCTTTAAACGAGCACGGTATGACTAGTAAGCTCTTAAGAACTTCAGTTACTTTCTCCACTGGAATATTTGGGTTTTGTTCTTATTTTATAAAAGGTTCTTCGTAGCAGTAATGTGCACACGTTTGCAGCAGCCTGGGACTTTGTTCCAGGGCTTACTGTTGTCAGCTCTTTCTGCTCCTCACTTCTTTCAGTTATCCGATACCATAATCCCTAGAGGCCCTTTAAAGCATTGGCTTAGTGTGTGTGTGTGTGTGTGTGTGTGTGTGAAACTGTGGGTGTGCACATGCCATGGCCACGTGTGAGTTCAAAAGCGAACTTTGTGGGGGGGTTGTTTCTCACCTTACATCTCTTTTCTGCCACTGTGTTACATTTTCAAGCTTCCATGGGACTCCCCTGTGTCCACCTCCCACGGTGATTTTCTTCTCTTTCACATCCATCCCGGTAGGAAGGCTGGAGTTAGGGATTTGCAGATCACATTTAGCTTTTAAGTGGGGTCTGGGAATCCGGTTGTCAGCCTTCAGGGATAAGTACTTTCTCCATCTGTCTAGCTGCCCTGCCTGGATCCTTTTTAAAAACAAAACGGTTTTTCATACAATATATTTTGATCATGTTTTTCCACTCCCCCAGCCCCTCCTAGAATCTAGAATAATCCTCCTCACCTCCCTACCCACCCAACTTTATGTTCTCTCCCTAAAAAAAAAAAGAAAAAGAAAAACAAAACAAAACTAATAAGACAAAAAAAATGCTTTTGAAATTGACTTCATTGTAAGGTTCTTGAGATGCCACTTAACTAATGAATCATGAACAGTAATTATACCTATCTGCAAACCACTCTTTATCAATTGCTTTGATTTCTAGAAGAATTTTTGAGCCTGCCTACCAGCCCTGTGAAGGAAATGGAACTGCACGTGTATTTTGGCAATAAAATGATTATTGTGGCAATAAGATGATGATTTTTTTTTGAGACAGGGTTTCTCTGTGTAGCTTTGTGCCTTTCCTGGAACTCACTCTGTAGACCAGGCTGGCCTCGAACTCACAGAGATCCACCTGCCTCTGCCTCCGCATTGCTGGGATTAAAGGCATGCGGCCACCAGCACCCAGCTAGCAATAAGATGATTATATATATATATATATATATATATATATATATATATGTGTGTGTGTGTGTGTGTGTGTGTGTGTGTGTGTGTATAATTATATATACATATAAATAATATACCTATCTTAGTCAGTGGCCAAGGAAGATTGGGATCTTGATGTTTTTTGGTTTGTGTGTGTGTTTGGTTTTTTCCTAAAGGCAGACTCACAATTCCCTCAAGCTCAGTTCTGCTAACTATTCTACACACAGAAAGCCTAATGCTGCACGTTCTCCCTAAGGCGGGTGTCACTAAATTATGACTCAGGATCCAGGCAGAGTAGCTCACACCTGGAACCTCAAGACATGGAGACCGAGGTGGCAGTCATTTATTTTGAGGATAAAGCTACCCCAGACTACATAGTGAATTCTAGTCCAGCCTGGGCTACAAAGTGAGACTCTGTCTCAACAAACAAATAATAAAAAGATGACTCAGGAAGTGGGAACCTGAAAATTGGTATGCTAATATATAGAATGAGTTAGACCTGGGTACATTTACTTCTCTCCTCTGAAAAAACAAACACCACAATTAACAACTACCTTGCTGGAAAAACACAAACAATATCTTTATCATTGGGTTCTGGAGCCATCAGTTAGTCCTATTGTGTTGATTGGAGAATAGCCATTATGACAGACCACTAAAGACAACTGTGCAGGAAATAATTCAAGTCGGTGCAAACAGGAAGGCCAAGCTGCTTCTGTGAAGCAACCAGGCTGCTTGCTGTCTGTGTCCTTCCGGATGATTAAGGAGAGAGAGTAGTTGTTTGATGCTCAACACTTCCCTCTGGCAAAGAAGAAAGCAGGCAGCTGGTATGTTCTCTGGCACATTCTGGGTGATTTTTCTTCTCTCTCGCAACAGTAATCCGGTACAACAGTGACCTGGTACAGAAATACCACCCTTGCTTCTGGATCGATGGACAGTATCTCTGCTGCTCTCAGACAGCCAAAAATGCTATGGGCTGCCAAATTTTGGAGAACAGGAATGGAAGTAAGATATCTGATCAACACCCCCCCTTCCGCCGTGTGTGTGTGTGTGTGTGTGTGTGTGTGTGTGTGTGTGTGTGTGTGTTGCTGGGGATGAAACCCAAGGCTTCAGACAACCGCATCCCCATCCTGATTTCTCCTTCCTTTGCCATTATTTCCATCACGGTCTCAAGGGTCTGTCAAATTCAAGGACACAGCACAAATCTGCACATTTGGACTGCAGGTGGGAGGGGTTAGTTAATGGGGTCTGAAATCCAGCTGGTATTATGCTAAGGTGAGTGACTAGGCACCTAGAATCTCTTTTTGACTTGCCAAATGCAGTGTAGACAACAGCAAAGCCCAGAACCAAACCTGTCTCTGGGCCTTACCCTAAAATGCGTTTTATACTATCACTGGCTTCTTGTTTTACAGGCTTAAAACCTGGGAGTTCTCATCGAAAAACCAAAAAGCCTCTTCCCCCTACCCCAGAGGAAGATCAGGTATAAAGGGAAATTACATACAGCTGTGGGCTAAATAAAAATTTGTTGTCATTAGGCATGGTGGCACACACTTCTAATCCCAGCACTCGGGAGGCAGAGGCGGGTGAATCTCTGAGTTGAGGCCAACCTGGTCTACAGAGCGAGTTCCAGGCCAGCCAAGGTACACCGAGAAGCCCTGTCTCACCACCACAAGAACAAAAACAACAAGAACACCAAAAACGTTGTCAGTCGCTGACCACACATCAGAGTCTTAGACTTGCCTGGAACTTGGAAGTATTTGTTGATGTTGACACTGAGCCAAAGGGTTTGCCCATCTACTTACACTCCCTCTTCAGTGAGGAGAGGGCTATCAGGTAGCTCTTGGCACCTACTTAAGTTATTTAATCTCATTTTTTTGAGACATGTGGTAATTTGAAAGAAAATGGGCCCCATAGGCTCATAGGGAATGGCACTATTAGGTGGTGTGGCTTTTATAGTAGGTGTGGCTTTGTTGGAGGAACTCTGTCACTAGGGGGTAGGCGCTGAGGTCTCAGAAGCTCAAAGCAGCCTAGTGGCTCAGTCTCCTCCTGCTGCCTTTGGATCCGGATGTAGAACTCTCAGCTCCTTCTCCAGCCCCATGTCTGCTTGCACGCCACTATGTTTCCCGCCATGATGATAATAAACTAAACCTCTGAAATGAAATGTTTTTCTTTATAAGAGTTGCTGTGGTCATGGTGTCACTTCACAGCAATAGAAATCCTAACTAAGACAAGACAGGATCTTATTATATAGCCCTGACTGGCCTGGAACTCACCCTGTAGACAGGCTGACCTCAAACTCACAGAGGTCTGCCTGCCTCTGCCTCCCGAGTGCTTTTTTTTTTTAAGTAAAAGTGTTTTCAAACATACAGTAAGGTTAAAAGAATTTAGCACTGAACACTTTTAGATTCTACAACTACAATTTCCCATTTGCCTCTTTCTTGCTTTCTCTTTTGCATTTTGAGATGGAGTTCACTATGTAATCCAAGCTGGCCTCAGTCTCTCTCTCTTTTCCTTTTTTTTTTTTTTGGATAGGGTGTAGGGGGAGGGCATGACCTTAGGTAGCCAACTTGATACGTAGTTTAAGATGTTCTTGAACTGCTAATCTTCCTTCATCCCCCTCCCAAGTGCTGGCATGTGTGGTACCATGTTTGAATGACCTCAAACTCTTAATCCACCTGCTTTTGTCTCTGGAGTGCTGGGATTACAGCCATGCTTCACCATCCCTGGCTAATATTTTACTTCACTGTTGAGATGGCTTTTCAGGTAAAGACCATTTCCACCAAGTCTTACAACCTGAGTTTGATCCCTGGGATACACATGGTTAAAGATAAGTTGTACTCTGACTTCCACATGTACACTGTGACACACTTGTATGAATACATACACACACGCGCAGAGAGAGAGAGAGAGAGAGAGAGAGAGAGAGAGAGAGAGAGAGAGAGAGAGAGAGAGAAAGCGAGAGGAAAAGGGAGAGGGAGAGAGAGAATAAATATAAAACCTTGATTTGGGGCTCCATTTTGACTTTAGGAAGTCTTATTATGATCATTTTTGCAAAGAAGGAATCTGAGGTCCCAAATCAGTTACTAGACCCATGTCCTACTTAAGTACCAAGCAGGTTTCCTGGTCAAAGACAGAGAATGCTAATGTTTGGGTTCTGTTAGCAGAAAATTTAACATGGTTGGTCTTTTGGAAACTTTCTGGAAATAACGCTCCTTAGGTGATCTTCATGCATACCGAGTTGGGAACACCTGCATGGGGCTTAAATGGTTGTGGAATGAAGGTTGATTAAAATGTTTATTATGTCTGATGTGAGTTAGAATGGTTTCTTTCTCCTGTAAACCGGAGAGTTAGAAGGAAGGAGAGGGGCACGTCTGATGACGAGGCATCCTTCTCCCCAACTACTTTTCCTCCTAACCACACAGATCTTGAAAAAACCACTCCCCCCTGAGCCAACAGCAGCACCAGGCTCCACGAATGAGCTGAAAAAGGTTGTGGCCCTTTATGATTATATGCCAATGAATGCAAATGACTTACAATTGCGAAAGGGCGAGGAGTACTTCATCCTGGAGGAAAGCAACCTACCGTGGTGGCGAGCACGAGATAAAAACGGGTGAGTGTGTGCAGCCCCCCTCCCCTCCCTCGCCTCCACCCCCCTTTGCCTGCCCACTCCACCTGCACACCAAGTGCTGCAACACACTTCTCCTGTCCTGGGTCTGGATCAGTGCTCACTCTTCTCACAACGCAATGAATACTCTCTCCCTTCAAGTATTTCTCAGTGTACAGCTCTCCAGGCACCATCTATGCCCTCTAGGCACATCTGTGGCGATGCACATAATGCATTGTCCGAGTTCAGAAGCTCCACTCTTCACTGGCTTCACCACGCATCAGAGAGCCAGTCTTCTTTAAGGGCTCTGTATTCTATTTGCTTTGAGCTCAGGGAAGTGGATACAGGAGTCTGTCTAGGGGAGGGTGCAGAAGCACTGCATGACCATGTTGTTTACTCTACAGACAGGAAGGTTACATCCCCAGTAATTATGTCACGGAAGCAGAAGACTCCATAGAGATGTACGAGTGAGTATGCTTATGTTCTCAGTGCACAAACGTGGGGAGAAACCAAGTACAGGATATACTTTTTATACACTTGATACATTTAAAAGTGGTGTATTTATTTTTATTTTATGTGCATTGGTGTTTTGCCAGCATGCATGTCTGTATGAGGGTGTCGGATCCCCTGGAACTGGAGTTGCATACAGTTGTGAGCTGCCATGTGGGAGCTGGGAATTGAACTCAGGTCCTCTGGAAGAGCAGCCAGTGCTCTTAACTGCTGAGCCATCTCCCTAAACCCCCAATATATATATTTTTTTATACTTTTTTTTTGTTTTTCGAGACAGGGTTTTCTCTGTGTAGCCCTTTCTGTTCAGGAACTTGTTCTGTAGACCAGGATAGCCTTGAACTCACAGAGATCCACCTGCCTCTGCCTCTCGAGTGCTGGGATTAAAGTTTATATACTTTTTTTTTTTGGTTTTTCGAGACAGGGTTTTTCTGTGTAATTTTGGTGCCTGTCCTGGATCTTTCTCTGTAGACCAGGTGGCCTCGAACTCACAGAGATCTGCTGCCTCTGCCTCCCGAGTGCTGGGATTAGGCATGAGCCACTGCCGCCTGGCATAAGTTTATATCCTTTTAATGAGCTTTGTTTATTTAAAGATTGACAACAAAATTAGTATTAACTCAGTCAAATGATGCCACCACGTTAGTGTCTGTATCTTGTTAGGATATGCCCACCCCAAATCCCTATACAGATGAGCGCTGGAGGATTTTTCAGACTCGCAATACAGAAGAATCTCACTCAAAGAACTCTCACAGGAAACATTTGCAAAAACACCAAAATTAAACTGGTGTCCTTCCTTCCTTCATCATTGAAGTGGATTGTCCTTGAGTGAGCCATCTCTAATACTTTCCTCATAAATCCCGCTCCCTGTTTGCCCTCTCCACTCTGTATCCATGAGTCCTCAGTGCCACTTGGAGCTTTGGAAGGGCTGGAGTGTGCTGTGTGCTCTGTTGCTAGATCCTTGCTAGTGTTAGAATGAAATGATGGAATCGTAGAAGCAGTGGGCCCCCGAGGATGCTCTAACTTCCAAGACGCTTGGACATGGCCTAGAAGCCAATCAAGCGCTCTCTCTTCCCAGGTGGTATTCCAAGCACATGACTCGGAGTCAAGCTGAGCAACTGCTAAAGGAAGAGGTGAGTATGCGGGGAGGGGGTCACAAGCCAAAGACCTTCTCTGTACACAGGAAATATAAGCTAAGAATTGGGGCCTCCTTCAACCGGAATCCCACCTCAACCTTTTAATTCATTAAAAGCAAGGAGGTTGTATCTCCAACATGGACCTTGAGGGGAAAATCAGGGGCCTTCTATTTTCTATCTCCAGTGTTTGGGCAGGCAGGATGCAGGCATAAACACCATTTCCTCTTACAGTGAACTTCTTTTTTATTGCTTCAGGGAAAAGAAGGCGGTTTCATTGTCAGAGACTCCAGCAAAGCCGGAAAATACACTGTGTCTGTATTTGCCAAATCTACAGGGTAAGTGTTACTGTTCCAAAGGCTGGGGTCAAAGGACAAGGGTGGCCTCTCTACGCTTCCTGATGGTTTACCTCTCTCACCTCCTCAGCCTTAAACTCAAAACTCATCTCACTTCACTCTCTGGGTCCTCCCGTGTCTGGCCCCCAAGTTACCGACTAAATATCGTTTATTCAGGGACCCTCAAGGGGTGATACGCCATTACGTTGTGTGTTCCACACCGCAGAGCCAGTATTACCTGGCCGAGAAACACCTTTTCAGCACCATCCCTGAACTCATTAACTACCATCAACATAACTCTGCAGGTGAGTATCCGAGGCAGCCCAGAAGGGTTAGAAACACCCGGAGAAACCATTCAAGACAGAAGGGTGAGAAGTGTAGTCACACGGGGCAGTCAGAATTAGTTATGAAAGTTAATCCCTGTGATGCTGGATAGAGTTCTAGTCAAGATATAACCACTAGGGGATTGACTGTTTTTTTTTTTTAAATGTAGTGCCAGGGACTCGAACTCAGCATTTTAGGCAAGTGCTCTTTCACTGAGCAATTTTCCCAGCCCTATTTGTTTTTATTTTTTTTTCTTCTTTTGGTTTTCGGGACAGGGTTTCTCTATGTAGCTCTGGCTGTCCTGGAATTTGCTTTGCAGACCAGGCTGGCCTCGAACTCACAGAGATCCGCCTGTCTCTGCCTCCTAGTGCTGGGATTAAAGGCATGCACCACCGTGTCCAGCTTTTTTCATTTGCACATAGCTCACACTATGTTATTCAGGCTGACCTGGACCTTAATCTACAGCTCAGGCTGTCCTTGAATCCATGACTCTCCTGCCTTAGCTTCCTGAGGTGGGAGTACAGGCCTCACCAGGCCTGGCAAGACTATTTCTCTGCTTCCTTCTTAACATATTTTTATTATTTAAATTTTTTGTGTGTTTGTGAGTGTGTGTCTGTGTGTGTATGGTTGTGTGCCTATGAGAGCAGATGCCTGTGGAGGCCAGAGACATTGGATCCTCTGGCACTCTAGTTCTGTGTGTGCTGGCCACTGAATTCAGTTCCTCTACGAGAGCAGTGTGTGCTCTTAACCACTGAGCCACTTCTGCAGCCCAGGACTAACTTCCTGTTTGGTGCTAAGGACACATAATGAAGAGACTAGTGACTAGGAATCGGGAAATATTCACTAGTAATTATTCATCTTCCTGCCATGGACTCTGGTAATTCACTCGGTTCTAGAAGCAAGTAAAATTCCGAGTTGAGATCCTCGGCCTGAAAGAACATTCAGGTTAGACAACAGCAGAGCACAGTTTCTAAGCACCCCCAGACCAACAGATGAAAGCTGGGGAGCCTGGCGAGGCCCGAGCACTTGGGGATGCTTCATTGAGAAAGTAGGATGTGAGCTAAGGCCAGGCTGGGATGTGGGAATACATTCTGTCACTGAGTAAGAAGGCTATTTCTTTCTGTCTTTTTTTATTTCTTTCAGATTGTTGTTTCTATTTTTGTCTTCTTTTGAGATAAGGTCTTGCTATCTTGTCATGTAGCCCAGGATGACCTCAAACTTACAGCAATCCTTCTACCTCAGTCTCTCGACTGAGGGGATTACAGGTGTGAACCACCATACCCGACAATAAGGAATCTATTTCCATTATTATTTTCCTTTTTTTTGTGCTGAAAAACTTGTGAGGAAAGAAACCTTCAGCAAACAATGTTGATTGGTGGAGATCTGGGATTCAAAATTACTTAGAAAGATTCACACTAGAATTGTAAGAATTTAAGATGTGCAAGGAATTCCCATGCCCTATGCTGACATAACCTCTCTGTTTCAGGACTCATATCCAGGCTGAAATATCCTGTGTCTAAACAAAACAAAAATGCACCTTCCACTGCAGGCCTGGGCTATGGTAACGGCTTCTTTCTGTAGATTTGGGTGGGCTGGAGTTACAAGAATTACCTCAGTAGATCTTGTCTTATGGAATGTTCTTAAGATGTACCATTTTGTGCCAGCTGTCTCTAGGAAAGGCTAGACAGAACCAAGATATTTAACAATTTTCTCCCCCTAGTGGTTCCTTCTGGTACTGCAAAAACAGATTCAGAAAAGGATTTATTACTGATGGTTAAATTTTTTACATTTATTTATTTGTGCATGTGCACACAAATGTGCATTAGCACAGAGATGTAGGTCAGAAAAGGACTTAGAGTTGTCTCTCTCCTTCCAAAATGTGGGTTCAGGGGATCAAACTCAGGTTTTCAAGTTTGGTGGCAAGCACCTTTACCTACAGAGCCAACTGACCAGCTTTTATCATGTAAAAAAAAATCAACATCATTCATGAGTTTATTAACTGTCATTATTAGCCTAATCATAACTGAGTTTTGGAAGGTGGTTTCATTTATCTTATTGCCTTTTGGCCAATTTGTACCTAAAATCCCCAGATTCCTCTGACCAGTAATCCCCTCCGTTTGAGATTTATCTGAGTAAAGAAAGGTAGATTAGTACTCCTGAGAATTCACCCTTTACTGTTTTTCCTATTTATCCCCTAGTAGGGAATCTTGTATAGTGTAGGCCTCCTCAAAGATTCACAACAAGACTTTGTTGGTAGGATCATGGGAAATTGATCCAAAGGACCTGACCTTCTTGAAGGAGCTTGGAACTGGACAATTTGGTGTAGTGAAATATGGGAAATGGAGGGGCCAATACGATGTGGCCATCAAGATGATCAGAGAAGGCTCCATGTCTGAGGATGAATTCATTGAAGAAGCCAAAGTCATGATGTGAGTTACGGCGTACAGTGCAGTTGTAGAGGGAAGGAGTCTAAGAACTGTGCTCTAAGATGACTTCCAGTGAGGGGAACTTGGGATCAGGGCCCTGAGGTTAGCCTTTTGAGGGGTTGTCTTAAAGAACTGCTAAGGTGCTGGGCGGTGGTGGTGCACGCCTTTAATCCCAGCATTCGGGAGGCAAAGCCAGGTGGATCTCTGTGAGTTCAAGGCCAGCCTGGCCTACAGAGTGAGATCCAGAACATGCTCCAAAGCTACGCAGAAAAACCATGTCTCAAAAAACAAACAAACAAAAAACCCACAAAAAAAAAAAACTGCTAAGGTAACCATTTCTTTGATTTAGATACTGGTTGAGAATAGTGTTGGGCATGTATATGGGCCCTCTCAGTAGCACTTTGGAGTAGATGTACAATGTTCAACTTTCAAAAGAAAAGATGATTCTAGTTTTATCTATTGTTATTTTAAGCTTGGACTTGTTTCTTGTCCATTTGGTAGGCTCCAAATCCCTGCTCACCCTCACTTTTGAGGCACCTTTGGGGTTCGTGATGGGAAGAAGAAAATAACCTTGCTATTATGTTACCTTATCAGATGTTCTATGCTAGGCCCATCCTTTTCCTCCCCTGCCCCTTTATGAGCGGTCTGCGGGGGCAAGACGGGAGGACTAGCTCCTTGCCTCTCCTGTAGGAATCTTTCCCATGAGAAGCTGGTGCAGTTGTATGGAGTCTGCACCAAACAGCGCCCCATCTTCATCATCACTGAGTACATGGCTAACGGTTGTCTTTTGAACTACCTGAGGGAGATGCGCCACCGCTTCCAGACTCAGCAGCTGCTGGAGATGTGCAAAGATGTCTGTGAAGCAATGGAGTACTTGGAGTCGAAGCAGTTCCTTCACCGAGACCTGGTGCGACCTCAGAAGGACTGGGGTGGGGGTCAAGGGGTGGGATGAACATCGGAAGACATAACATACACTGTTGAGGAGGGTGGCAAGGGCCAGCGTTTAGACTTTCTCTAGAAAACATTACACATTAAGTGTGCATCTGCCCCAGGGTTGAGCCCATCAGTTGTCTCCAGCCTCAATTTCAACAGGCCTGCCACTTACCCTGAGTCCCTGTCACTTATGAGCAAACACTACCTATTCTAGACCTTGAGAAGAGGAGCAATCCTGTGTTTCCCAGAGGGACCGCTCCTGGTACAAAGTCACCATTTGAGTCATTTACATCAGAGTCACAAACAGGACCCATGGATCCACTTTGATCCACTTTTCTTTTCTTTCTATTCTATTCTATTTTATTTTTGAGACAGGGTTACATGTAGACCAGGATGGCTTTCAACTTCTGAACTTTCTCTCTCCACTCCCAAGTACTAGGATTATAGGTGTGCATCACCACACCGGGTTTATGCAGTGCTGGGAATTGAACCCAGGGCTTTGTGCTTAGCATTCTAACAACTGACCACATCTCCTGCTCTCTCATTTTTTAAAAGATTTATTATGTAGTGTTCTGTCTGCATTTATGCCTGCTGCCAGAAGAGGGCACCAGATCTCATCACAGATGATTGTGAGCCATCACGTGGTTGCTGGGAATTGAACTCAGGACCTCTGGAGGAGCAGTCAGTGCTCTTAACAGCTGAGCCATCTCTCCAGCCATCTCTTGTGGTTTTTAAGACTCTTTTATTATAGTTAACATACTATAATACTTAAAGAGGAGCATTCTACATTACAAAACAACTGTACTTTCCAGTTTCTCTTGAAAATCTAGACCACCTGAGAAGTCAGGACCCACAATCTCACTGTCCATGCTAATAGTTACCTGGCGCTGGGATGCAACTCTCCCCTTCATAGCAGGCCTGTGTGCAACACTTCCTGCCGTCTCCACCTACTCCACATCACTCTTTGCTTGCTTTCTTAGCCCCTGGAGGCATCAGTTTGTACATCTGTTTCTTTTAGCCAGATGGAGACTCAAATTGCCCTGTCTCCCTGCTAGAAAGGAAAAAAACAAAACAAACTTGCCCAGTGTTTCTTCTGGATTCTCTTAGCAGTTCAATGAAGTGGAGTGGTCCGAGTGAATGAAATTGTTCTGCAGGCTTTATTCAGGAATGCATAACAGGTTGCTTGCTCTCCATGTGATGGAAATGCAGCAAAATTTCTCAGGATCAGTCAAGTAGGCTGCCTCACCCTCATAATCTCAGCACGTTCGAGACCGAAACAGGAAGATTCCATGAGTTTGAGACCAGCCTGAGCTACATAGTGAGTTCTAGGTCAGCCTGGAGTACAGAATAGGATCCTCTCTCTAAACAAACAAACAAACAAAAAAACCCCACAAAATTAAGGGCAAGGGAGATAGTTTTGTTGGTAAAGTGCCTTCAGAGTAAGAAAAAAGAGCCAAGTTCAGATCCTTAGCACCCATATAAAAAAGCCAGGTATGGCAGCACACATCTGTCATCCCAGCACTAGGGTTTTGGGCAGAGACAGGCAGATGCCTGGAGCTCATTGGCCAGCCTAGCCCAATCAGTGAGCTCTAGGTTCAGTGATATTGTCTCAATAAATAAAGTAGCAAGTGATCAAGGAAGACACCTGATATCAATTTCTGTCCTCCACATGAACACACATAAAAACTACATGCACACACACAGCACGTGTATACACACACATACACGCACGCACGCATGCACGCAGGCGCACACACCTCTGTAGCATCGAATAACTCCTATTAAGTGGAAAGTGCCTTTAGCTGAAGGCCACGAGTTTTCCCAGTTTCATTTTGCTGCTAGGCAGAAGCTTCGAGTCTTTAGCCTGGGGGCCAAGGGTGTCGTCTCAATGGTGTCTATTGTACTGCAGGCAGCTCGAAACTGCTTGGTAAACGATCAAGGAGTTGTGAAAGTGTCCGACTTCGGCCTGTCGAGGTGAGTGTGCCTTTTTTGTCTTCCTATATATGATTTATTTTGGAAAAATGACTGTGCTATATAGTCCATGGTGGCCTCAAACTCGTGAGCATTCTATCTTGCCTCAGCTTCTGCACTGCTGCGGTTACAGGTATTGCTACCACATCTGACTTTCTCATCCACTTGAAATGGGAAAACAACAGAGAACTAACAGGGAGGGGCACGGCATAATTTTTAATCTCTGTTTTCTTGTTCTGGTCTCCTTTTTGTGTTTTTGGTTTTTGAGACAGGGTCTCTCTATGTAGGTCTGGCTATCCTGGAGCTCACTATGTAGACCAGGTGGGGTTAAAGGCATGCACCATCATGCCTGGACTTTCTGTTCTCTATATAGTGTCTTCTAACCTCTAGGTATTCTGAATCATTTAGTTCATTTATTTCTCTCTTTCTCTCTCTTTTTTTGGGGGGGTTGTTATATTTCTTATCTTTTTAGTGTAGCCCAGGCTGGTCTGGAACTCACAGCTATCCTCCCACATTACCCTGCCTTAGTGTCTTGACTCATGAGGGGCACCCTGCAGGTATCTGGGCAGGGAAGTGAACCCTCCAAGAGATGAGATTGAAAGCCTGGTGCAGATTGACTTTGTCAGCCTGGATCAGACTTTGGGGAGTCTAATGCCCGGCAGTCCACTGTCAACATATTTAAAACACTACAATTTGGGTAAAGGCTTCCAGGAAACCATCAGTCCAGTTCCAGGTGCACGATAAAGCTACATAGAAACTCCTTTACAAAGTACGTGTGACCATGAGGGTGGGTTCTATAGCTAAAAGGCCTCGAGTCTCGTGTGGTCTCTGACTGATAGCATAGAGGTCATCAGCTCATAAAGTACATGTGACATCCCCCCTAAGGATGGATCATGGTCTAGGGAGGGAAGAGTCTGGGATAATCATTCTGGGGGATTTGAATGAGGTCTGCCTCTATAGCAAAAGGTGGGTGAGGTCTGCCTCCACAGATAGCAACAAAGTCTCCAGTTTGTTAACAAAATCCACTCCCAGCCTTCCGGACAGAAAAACGGGTATTTTATCTCCTCGGTTGAGAAGAGGCCCCTGTGTGTTTAACATTCCTGTTTTCCGTAGTGCTCTGTGGGTGTGAGGGCCTTGGTGCCCCCACCAGACTCCACCTCTGGAGTCCTGGGACTCCAGGCATGCACTGTTACCCCCGTATACCCCCGTTCATCCTTTCCTTCGCTGTTGTATCCCTCTTCTCCTTTCCTCTTCTTCCTCCCCACCGTCCTCCCCCTCTTCATCCTTCTCCTGTTTCCCCAATTTCTTAGCTTGCTATTCAGCCTGCTGACTTTCTTCCATTACTCCTTTCTGGGTCTAACCCTTATTGGCTACTGCAGAATGAAAGAAAAGGAGAAGAAGAAATGCAGAGAAAGAAAAAGGTGGAGGAGAGAAGAGGACAGAAGCCCTTATTAGGTTTTTTTTTTTCTGTTTATTTTGACTGTAACCATATTGTGGATCAGGAAAGCTAAATCAGAAGTCTGGATGGAAGCAGAGCCTGATGGTGCAGGCCTGTAATCCCAGCTACTCTGGAGGATCAAGTAGTGTCGTGATTGAAAGTTCAAGGGGCTGGAGAGGTGGTTCAGTGGTTAAGATCACTGGCTGCTCTTCTAGAGGACCTGGGTTCAAACCCAGATTCCACCTATAGCTCACAGTTAACTGGGCAGTGGTGGTGCATGTCTTTAATCCCAGCACTCGGGGGCAGAGGCAGGTGGAGCTCTGTGAGTTCAAGATCAGCCTGGTCTACAGCGTGAATTCCAGGACAGCCAGGGAACACAGAGAAACCTGTCTCAAAAATAAAAAAATTAAAAAAAAATTAAAAAGTTCATGGCCAGCTTGGGTAATTTAGTGAGACATTGTTTCATTCATTTAAAAAAAAGTACAAAAAAGGGCCAGAAGTGAGTATCACTAGTAGGGTACTAGCCTGGTATAGGCAAGGCTCTGGGTTCAACCACACAGAGGACAAATGAATACTTTTCTAAAGAAAAAGAAACCAAAACGGAAGTTTTGTTAAACGTAACATTTGTAGACTGCATTGGCTGGCCCGCAGAAACTTTTGAGAAAGCATGTAAATGTGTCTTTGTGCAGCCCTCCCTCATGGGTGGGCTGAGAAGACCCGCGCACATATCAAGCTGTCTAAATCTTAAGGGCAACAAGTCTTGACTCCCTTGCAGGTATGTCCTGGATGATGAATACACCAGCTCGGTAGGCTCCAAATTCCCAGTCCGATGGTCTCCACCGGAAGTGCTTATGTACAGCAAGTTCAGCAGCAAATCTGACATTTGGGCTTTTGGTAAGTAGATGCCAACATACAGGTTAGGGTGCGGAGATGGCTCCGTGGGTAAGCCAAACTGCTTCTCATGCAAGCCTTACCACTCGAGTTCAGATCCCCAGAACCCACTTCAGATCCCCAGAACCACATAAAAACTGGAAGCGGTAGTGAATACAGCTGTTAGCTGCAATCCACTGTGCCCCTGCCGGCCGACAGGAGGCAGAGGCTGGAGGATCACAAGTAACTCAAGGGCCAGATAGCCCGTAGAATCTACCCGAAAAACAGCAAGGGAGCTCCCTGTCTCCAACAAGGTGGAAGGTGTAGATCAACACCCATGGTTGTTATCTGACCTCCACTGTATGCTGTGGTGTAGATGAGCACACACACACACACACACACACACACACACACACACACACACACACACATTGGTGAGGAGAAGAGAGAATATAGATTATACAGCTCAGAGAAGAACATAACAGGACAGTTCAAATTTGCATTCCCATTATCACTCATCTGATCCTTGGGGGCTTCTTATGTGTCAGGAACCATAGGGGTTTCTGAGGACAGCCAGCGCAAACTGGACATAATCTGTGTTTTCTTAGAACTTACACTATATCCTGGGAAACAAACCATTCATTATTCAATGGCTTCTGAATACTGATCATGTACTAGGCATTCTGCCAGACCCCAAAGCTACCGAGACAAACAAGACACAGCGTCTCTTCTAGGGGAACTAATGGTCCAGCATAGTGCAGCTCTGATAACCATCAGTGCAGCCAGGACCATGGCCGTTGTCTGAACAAAATGCAAAATCCACAGGGGAGAAATCAGCTTCTTCTAATCTTTACGCTTCATCTGGAAGGACTAGGCCCCAAGTATTAAAAAAAAACAAACAAAAAACGACTGAATGCTCGCCTCTCTCTCTCTCTCTCTCTCTCTCTCTCTCTCTCTCTCTCTCTCTCTCTCTCTCTTTCTCTTTAATCTCCTAGGGGTTTTAATGTGGGAAATTTACTCCCTGGGGAAGATGCCATATGAGAGATTTACTAACAGTGAGACGGCAGAACACATTGCTCAAGGCTTGCGTCTCTACAGGCCTCATCTGGCATCAGAGAGGGTGTACACCATCATGTACAGCTGCTGGCATGAGGTGAGTGTTGCAGTGGTCGCTCTCAAACTGTTCCCTGGAATTTCCTTACTTCCTCATTGAGCTGGCCAGTCCCCTCTCTCCATGGTCACTTGTCAGCTGGGCACAGACTTGCAGCTGCATGTGCTTTCTTACTCTGGCCTGAATCCGAATCCTCTGATGGCTTTTCCACGCCCACCCTACTCTTCGATAGAGTATCATTAGCAGACCAGACCCTAGTACCTATATCAGCTTTAAGAGTGGGCGGGGCGGGGTGGTGGTGGTTGGGTTGTGGGACCATACGGTCTTCAAAGGCACGCAGGTAAACGGGCATTGCAAAGTCTGTAATCATTATCTGGGGGCTCCCCTTCCACTTTCCTAGCTGCCAACCTTTTCTGGTTGAGGGTTTAAATGAGGCTTTAAAAACTCTGTCGCTTAGAAGGGACCTAAAGTCGTTTTTGTTTGTCTGCTTTGGTTTTTGGGTTTTGATTCTAAAATATTTTTAAATTATTGATTCTTCTTCGTGTATGGGTATTTTGCTTGAATGCATATCTGTGCACCACATTCATACTTGCTGCCCGTAGAAGCCAGAAGAAGGCATCAGGTCCCCTGGAACTGGAGTTATGGACAGTTGTGAGCCACCATGTAGAAACAGATAAAAAAAAGAGTAATCCTCAAAATAAAGTTTGTATAACAGCCAGGTGGAAGTGGGGATAGGAAGTCCTTGCCTGATTTATGGAAAGAGATGCAAGGGATAAGGCAAAAGTTACTAGCATTATGGGCTGGAGAGATGCCTCAGTGGTTAAGAGCACTGTCTGTTCTTTCAGAGGACCAGGGTTCAATTCTCAGCACCTACACAGCAGCTCAAAACTGTTTGTAACTCCAGTTCCAAGGACCCGACACCCTCACACAGACATACATGCAGGCAAAACACCAATGCACATAAAATGAAAATAAATTTATAAAAAATAACTTGAGTTGCTAAAGATGAAAAGCACACAAGGACTTTATGGAGACCTGCTTTTTCATTTTTCTTCTTTGTGTGTTATCAAGAAGATATGTGGCTAGGTTTTTAGTACATAGTTAATAAGCCTAATACTTTGTAATTTACTACTGGCTTCTTTGTGGATTCTGGTTTCTACACTGTAACACTTGTCTGTTTTCTTTGGTTTTAGAAAGCAGATGAACGTCCTAGTTTCAAAATTCTCTTGAGTAACATTCTAGATGTCATGGATGAAGAATCCTGAACTGGCTGATAAGCTTCGTGGACCTACTCCTCTCTCCTACACGTCCTAATTCCACTTTTTCTGAGGGCTCCCAGGCTCACGGGCTCTGTAGCCTTCCATGCTCCTACTGAATACATAAAGGCCCCTGTATATCGAGGAATGCCTTTCTTCTTTCAGTCCCCGGCATAATGCTTCTGAGAAAAAGCCGAGGAATTTCTGTGCCTGGTATTGCCCGTAACTTCAAGACTCCTAACAGACTGAATTTGGGATGGGAACATTTTGGGGGAGGGAAAGATGAAATTAGCTCCACTAGATGTCTAACAGCTTGTTGGGTAAGTGTTAAGAGTGTGGGGGCAGGACAGACTGAAATGGTGCCATTAGAATGGGAGGGATGGATTGTTTTGATAAAAATAAAATTATTGGAAAGAGTGAAGTTATCTCCTATTTTAATTCATTACACAGCCGCCCTGAAGCTCCCTGTTTGAGAATTGCAGAAAATCGTGTGTTATTAGTTTGGCATATTCCTAATCTATTTGAGACTTGCAGAACACCGTGTGTTATTAGTTTGGCGTATTCCTAATCTAGAACTCGACCGAATCCACATCTCACCCCTCTTTCTCCTGTTAAAGCCCGCCTCTTAATTGTAGAGGAACCCACAAGCCTTCCACCGTGCTTGGCACACAGTAGACATACAGTATCATTTGACTGGATCTTAGGGACAAACTCAGCCAGATCCTCATTTCTCTACATCAAGAGAAAAAAACCCCATCAAAGAACTGGACCCAGGGGTCCAGGGTAGCCAGTTCATTCGCAGAAGAGTTCTGGCTGGGGGCAAAGTCAACGCTGAGAAAGCGCGGGCCAATTTGGAAGTGGGCAGGGCGGGGTTGCAGGGCCGGCCCTCCACTGGACCACGTGGTGTGAAGTAACTTCCTCTTTTCCTTTCTACTAGTCTTTTCTTTTTGAATCTCCGCTTCCACGGCGCCGCGGCGCTGCAGGCCACGGCCGGGCGCTGCCGCTGGGGTGCGGCGGGGAGCGGATCTCCCCCCCCCCCGACCCCCCGCGGAGACAGCGGAGCGCGGTGGCCTGCGGGGAGCAGGCAGAGCCGGCCTGGTCGCCTGTCCCGCGCCGACGCAGTGAGCTCACAGGGCGGTCCCCAAGGCGGGGCAGGGCGGCGCGCGCTGGGGGGTGGAGGAGGGAGGTTGTGGTTCCGGTTCCGTCACCCAGACACGTGAAGGTCGGCAAGTCGGTTCTGTGCTCGCCTCGGCCCGCGTGGTCGCGCCGGGATGGATTCGTCCTCGTCGTCTTCGGGCGCGGGTTTGGGCGCCGTGGACCCGCAGTTGCAGCATTTCATCGAGGTGGAGACGCAGAAGCAGCGCTTCCAGCAGCTGGTGCACCAGATGACGGAACTTTGCTGGGTGAGGATCCCTGGGCTTGGATCTGGGTGCTGTGCCTACTTTCCCTGTGCCCTTGCCCCCATGGGACTTGCTAGGATGTCGGGAACTTCAGAGTGGGTGGTCTTGACTGCACTCTGGGTTCTCAGATTCCTTAGGCCGAGTCTGAACTTCTCTGGAAGACCGTAGGTGCAGAGAGAGGGTTGGGACTCACAGGCTCACACCTCTGTCCCACCCAGCACTCGGAGGCATCTGAGGTTGAAGCTGTTGTGCTGGCCTTTAAGACTGATCAGAAGCCCCAGTCCTGGAATTTTAGGGTGCCCGAATCCCAGAGAGCCCATGATTTATTTCTGGACTCCTCGGGATTTATCTAGCTTACCCAGTTATAACCCCTCCTGATGAAAAGACAAGCGGCTCCAACTCATTAAGTATAAAAGTGGCATAATCTCTCCCAACATACACATTTATTTGCTTGCCATCACGGTGAGTTGTGTAATACCAAGACATTAAGGTCTGAAGGTTGAGAAATTGAGTCGGCTCAGTGAGGGGACTTTGGCAGAGGGCAGAAGGCATTTGTTTGTAGCTGAGATCAAAGTGTTCTGGTTGCCAAGGACAAGCACACTGCCCGCCTGTGACATAAAAACTTAAAGAATTTAGAGGCCAGGGATATTATTCGTTGGAATTAGAGAGACTCTAAGTCTTGTGTATAAAGCAGAGAGTCATGAATGAAATTTATTACAAAGGTTTCTAACTATAATACAGACATTGATTTACTTGGTCCTTTTCCTGTAAACTTATGGATTGCTGGACTGTGCTCTTTTGAAATGCTTGGATTAATTCTGGATTGCCTTGGATCAGAGGGCTTCAATTCTTTGTTTTGACTTTTTTGTTTGTTTGTTTTTGAGAAAAGTTTTCCAGTATTCCAAGCTAGCCTCATACTGAATGGATAGCTGAGAATAGCCGAAAGTGACCTTGAAAATGGTTTTCCTGCCTCCTCCAGCTTTTTATTCTTTTTTTTAAAATAGTTTCTTTTGAGATAGGGCTTTGCTATTTACTTTTGGCTGGCCTGAAATTTATAGAGATCTTTTTCCTGCCTCTGCCTCCTGATTGGTGGGATTAAAGGTATTCACCACCAAAATATGCTAGGTTCTTTTTCTTTATTCTTTCTTTTTCTTTTTTCTTTTTTTCTTTGTGTGTGTGTGTGTTTGAAACAATGTTTCTCTGTGTGACAGCCTTGGCTGTCCCGGTCACAGAGATCCTCCTGCCTCTGCCTCTAGAGTGCTGGGATCAAAGGCGTGTGCCACTGTGCCCAGCCTCTTTTTCTTTTTTAAAAAAGTCTCTGGTCATGTTTGGGTGGGAAGTAGTGTGGTTAATGACTGCTTTAAGAATAATGAACTAGGAGAGGAAGAATTCATTTTCTTCCAGTGGTACAGCCAACTGAAGTTTCTCATGCTCCCATAGAAGAACCTTGTGTGCTCATGCAAGCAACCCAAAACTCAGTGGATCATAAAGAAAGGGTGTACACTAGGGAGATGACTTGTTGGGAAGTAGAGGGGATTGAGAGGGTAAATGGGAAATGTGATCAAATTGTATCATATACATGCATTTCACATGTATGAAATTGTCAGTGTGTTTTGTAAATCTGTGAACTCCAGTTTCCCACTCCTCCTGGGGGCATACAAGAACCTTTGGTACATGTTGGGTAGGATGGTACAGTCCCAGAACTTGGGAAGCAAAGACAAAAGGATCTGAAGTTCCCGGGAAGTTCCCGGCCTGCTTGGCCTACACAGAGAGTTCCAGCCACCTAGGCCTACATAGTGAGACCCTGTCTCACATGACAAACTACTCTGTCTTAAAGAAATAGGCTTAAAGAGTGTTGCTTCATAGATTTTCTTTGTTGATTGGTTTTAGGATATCTAACTAGTTGTTTTGTTTTTCCAAACAGTTTCTCCATGGCCGGCCTCAAACTCAGATCCCTCTGCCTCTCAGGTGCTGAGATAAGGTGTGTGCCGCCACCACTGCCTGAAAAAGGTTATTTCACTTGTATTTTTTTTCCCCCGCCTCTTTTCTCACTCTGTTATATCCAAGGTGTGCCATTTTCTGGCCCATTGACTTTGAGCATACTCTGCCAGAGTTTCCACTGGTAAAAATGAGGATTGATAATGGTGTTTTCCATTGACTTGTTGCAAAATGTAATGTAAACCTGTGTCTAATTGTTTGACAATTGGTAAGATGCTAAATGTGAAAATTTTTTATTAATTTTTTAGTAAAAAGGCAGGGGCTTCATCATGGCATATGTGTTCTTAACGTGGATTTCTTGCCTCCCTTACAATCTCTTTTTCTCCTCAGTCTTCTAGTTACATCACATATGTATAGATACACACATGCTATGCAATTTTAAGTCTAGGTGTTCTGGGTAAGAGAAAACACAGGTCCAAATGTATTAGCAAATCAGATGCTTTAGGTGAAATTACTCCTGTAAGCAAAAGGCTCTTGTTTGCAAGTTCCCTTTGTGATTCTGTGTCTTATTCTGAACAGGAGAAGTGCATGGATAAGCCTGGGCCAAAGTTGGACAGTCGGGCTGAGGCCTGTTTTGTGAACTGTGTTGAACGCTTCATTGACACGAGCCAATTCATCTTAAATCGACTGGAACAGACCCAGAAGTCCAAACCAGTCTTCTCAGAAAGCCTTTCTGACTGATCTCAGCATTACCTCTTTGGAGAAGTAGTTCAAGAAATGAAGAGCTGTTGATGGGATGGTTGAAGAAATGGCTACGGGGCGGGGGGATTGGCTCCCAATTTTCTTTATCATCTTGGGACGTCTTGTCACCTGAGAACGAACAAAGACCAATTTTTATGTATGGGAGTTGAGAGTCATGTGTATTTGGTTGTGTTTTTAAAGCTAATCGTGTGAAAATAATTGACAGATAAATGAAATTATGAGATGCATATTACTGTATATGGGACTAGGCTTTCTCAAGGTCCCTTAACTGCTTTATATGATTTTGATAGTGGAAGTGCTTTCTATAATGTGATAGTGGGACCACGTAGGGTAAATCTCTATTTGTATGGATTCATTTCTGATTTTTTAGGGAGATCTTTGCATCAGAAAGAGTAACAGTGGGGAAATAACCTGGCACTGTTGAACCATGAGCTTTCTTATCTTTAAAAGTTCGGCTGTCAGAGCTGAAAAAATTATGGGTGTTGATATAATCCAGCCTTTTAGGTTGTCTTTCTCCCCTATACTGTGATTTACTTAAATATCAAATTGAAGATATGGTCTCAAGGTAGAACGGGCAGCCTGAAAATCTAGAGGGCTTTAGATAGTTATAAAGGAATCTAGCTCATGAGCATAATTCGTACTACTAGACTGCCACAGGAGGAAGTTCACCTACTCTGTATATCAGGATACAAAACCTTCACAGATGTGCCTAAAGAGATGCTAATGATTTAGGCCAGTCAGAAACTAACAACAGTTTCAGGTAGAGGTGCATGCCTGATGTCAGTCATAAATTCCATTACTGTATTCTTTCTTTCGGTCACTGAAATAAAAGCTCTGCAAGATCAACTTGTGATGGTGAGGCTTTCTATTTTGGGTTTTTATCTGCAACTCAGATTTCATGTGGGCGCATTTCAAGACAGAAATGTAGTTAGTCTCTCCTAGAGGTCCCTGACGTTTTGTGAGAAGAAAGTACTTTCAGATGAGATGAGAAGGGAAAACAACTTCTGTGCTAACACTTAGGTCTCTGATAGAAGAGCTTATATCGAATTCCCCTCTTGTTTTTAAATCCTCATGGACTGGAGTGTAGACCTAAAGGAAAACTGCTTAATACAAATCCATGAATGTGGGCAATTACCTGCTTCTAGCATTTCCTCATAGGCACCACAGGGAAATTTTTGCAATTGTGATGAAAATGTAAGTCAACAAACTAAAGTGCCTTTTCCAAGCCAGCCTCGCTGCTTGGTAAGAGGGATTCAATAGAAGCAGCCGGAAGGCTGAAGAGATTAGTTCTAGCCAAGGGAGACATAAAGGTTTCAGT